TCATGTTGTCAATTGACCTAATTAGTGTTAATTGGTCTTCCAGCTGTTCGTCATATGCACAATGTCCTTTTTCCAGTTACCTATTGCTACTTGTCCCAACTTTTTTGGGATTTGTTGACACTGTGAAATTTTGAATCAACATATTTTTCCTTTAAAATGTTACATTTACTCAGATTAAACTTTTGATCTGTCATCTATGTTATATTACGAATAAAATATTGACATTTGCCATTTCCACATCATTGCATTCAGTTTTTATTCACAATTTGTTTAGTGTCCCAACTTTTTTGGAATCCGGTTTGTATATAATTTCACCACATTAAATCACTGCAGGCTAAGTCCCCTTTAGTACGATGCAATATTCTGGCAACACCATAAAATAAAGCCTCTGCATTCTTTATATCTCACCACAACAGCAGCAGATAGCAAAACAGAGAAAAAGTTTAGGTACCTCGAGTGTTGCTGAGGGGTTTGAGGTAGAGGGCCAGTTCCTCCACACACTGTCTTGCCACCTCATAATTCTGTGTGTCTTCTGGACTGGCAATCAAGGCAACTGGCTGAGCCTTAGGAACCTGCAGGGGAGAAAAATAATAGAAAAACTATTGATACAATTGACACAAATATCATAAACTGATATTTATTGTGCTGTAGTGGACAAATATGATAATAGACATTTATTTTGTTGTCGTTATCCATTGCCGTCATCACTTTTTAAGAAATCAGGTCTCTCTTGTAAATGAGCCCTCGAGACTCAATGAGATTAACCTGTCTAAATGAAGGTTGAATGAATTTTTAAATATTTGAGAAAAAAAATAATAGAAACAAAGCTGTTTTATAGTATGATAAAAGCTTCAAAAACGGCCTTAACCTTGTTATCTTTGCTTTTGATTTTAACCCTACATTATTTAGTTAAAAAATCGCCTTCCTTGTTTACCAAAATGATGTGCATTTTTTTCTCCGGGATTCTCATTAACTGCTTGTTTTTACGTTATATATATTTTAAAGCAATAACAAAATGAGAAAGTTTTCATCTGGAAAAACTAGAATGCTGAGACTGCATTATTTTGAGTAGCAACACTTTCAATTATAACATGCAAACAGCTAGTTTGGCAAAACATGCATTAATAATCAGATATTGTTTAGGCCTGCGGCCATTGCCACTGACCTCAACGCAGCAATGTATCCCACTATTTCAGTGCTGACAGAGCATTAAACAACTACTGCCTTAAAGCGTTCAAGCATGAGACGCAGATGGGTGCTCTGTTGGCTTTAGTGCAAAATGAACACATGTGGCAAGACTTCCTTGTGATAAAACAAGTAACTACAGAACCAGGAAATCACACAAAGCTCCCCAAAGGCTAGTAATTTCCATCTTCATTGTAGCAGTAAAATGAAAGGTTTGGGCTTCAGAGCAAAGTCTCACTAAATCTTTTTTTGGCAAAACAGTCCCTTCTCCAGAATTGTCTCTCGATGAGTTTGATTAGGTACAAATCTTTGTCATAATTACATTTCCTAGATAAAATTTTATTTCTGTTTCAGATGTAAATAGTGTGATTTTGTGATTTACTGTGTTCATATTTGTCCATTGAAAGCAGTTTGTCTACAAAATGAGACTTCCAACAAAGCAAAACATCTTATAAAATGTGCAGGAAAACAATTACCAGTAAAGGTAAAATCATTAAACTTGTTTCACCATTTGGAAAAACAAAAGAGTATAATTAGCCAGTGAAGGCTTATGAGGAGGAAACAAGCAGTTGCATGTACAGTCTAACGGTAAATAAATGACTCAATAAAAAATGTACTGCTGCATTATTATGTCCTTCGAATTATAAAAAGACTACAAAGCTGAAGGCTGTCTAATTTTGATGGGCCATGATTTTAAAGTCCATCCACAGTTTAAAATTTGACAGAAGGTATTTTTGTGTTACTGATCTTCATTAACAGTAGTATTTACAATTTGAGCTATAATTTAAAATGCAACAGTGTTTTATACAGAATCCTGAGAAGTTACAGGTTTCTTTTTTTGGGGGGCCAATTTTAAAACTATAAACAGTTTTTATACTAATACCAAAGACTTCTGTGAAAAACATGCATGTTAGCAATTTTTTTTTTTTAGTTTAACTAACCCCCCCCCCCCCCCCCCAAGTCTGAGTGAAGGTGTGAACGTCTCAACATTATCAACATCTATGTGTAGCTATTTTTATAAGAAAGTATGTTTTTGTTTTGGGGTGTTTTTTTTCTAAAGGCCAGGTAGCATCAATAAAATGGTATCTGTAATGGAAAATAAATTAAAAGACATCGCATTGCATTACTAACAGCAACACATTTTGTTTGTGAATGAGACTTTAATATTTCTCATTACTACACAGACTGAACCTGGAAAATTAGATGTCATCAGCTGTGTTTGTCCTGTTGGCTAAATATTTCCTCAAAGAACTACAACGTTACTCACAATTCCAGCAATTAGTAAGCCAATAAAACACAAGTCAGGTCAATAATTGTAGCATGCACAAACAAAGGAATCCCTATGTAAGGAACATTGTGTACACAAACGATGTTTATGGGAAAAAAAAAAAAAAAAACGCTGACATACATGATATCTTATAATGTTTGAAAACAAAAACACAACATTGGACAGTAAACAAGAACAAATGTTCTATATGTCATTTGAACAAATTATGACAAAAACACAAACTTGTGTCTTACCTGGCCTCCGACGAGCTGCAACAGGGCTGTGTTGACAGGTAACTGCTCAATGTCTGTGCTGATGGCTGTCTGGTCAAAGGGACAGGCCTTACGGTGCAACTTGTTCAGGCACATCTTGCAGACAGTGTGTCCACAGCCCAAGCTGATGGGCCGGCGAACAGTTTCTTCAAACGTCTGTGTGCAGATTGGGCACAGCAGAAACTCTGTCCATTGTGGCGCTTGCACTGGCATGGTTATATGTTGATGGGATGGGTGTGTATAAAGGTAAAATTTAACACAAAGAAAAATATAATAATTATATATAAAGATATATGGAAGATTCCACTGGAATCGAGATTTTTTTTCCGAACTCAAACGTTCTTAAATGTCCTCACACATTGTGGATGTTGGATCACATCTCGTGATGAATACTGTTAAACAGAAAGAAAAAGTGAATAAAAATCATGAAATCATTTAGTGATGTAAACAAGTGTGCACACATGTCAAAATGCAGTCCCATACTGACTTTATCTTATCAACAGGTGGTTTTTTTTTACTACATGTTGGGTACAGGAGCATCTAGTTCCACTTCAGAAATCCGTTTTGACCAAGTCAAAAGCTAATCTTAAATTAGCACGGTGGCTTTCTGCTATTGGCCCTGTTCAACATTTACTCGCAATTAAACCAAGAAACATAAGAGAGTAATCAGAACATGTTTAAAAAAACTGCCCAAATGATCAAAAGATGACAACAACAGCTGTGTGGCCTACTTGCAGGAGCCTGTAGGCACCATGGACAAAGGGTAGAAGTGGCTAACTTACAAGTCTCTCTGTCTGTGCTATTTAACGCAATATCGTTTGGTATAAAAAATAATTTATTTGATTTTCACTGACGATCTCGATAGATTTGTTGCAACAATGTCAGGGTTTCCTTTAATGCGAATTACAGTGTTTGTGATTGAGCGATACGTTAGCACCTTTAGCAATCTAAGCTATGGGTGGCTAATAGTCAAGCTTAGCTAACGAGTAAGCGTCGTTGGATCAAAATCAACAGCTTCACAATCCTGAACTTATTGTCGATTGGTTATTATGTAGTTATTATTCCTACTATAACCGCGGATTTATAATTATTGCGCTACGAAGAACATCAATTGCTATCTATATGGGAAAGGAAACGATAGTACAGGAACCGTAGACCATTTGAGTTGCAGTCATTATGTAACGTTAGCATCTGAAACTAACAAACAAATAGTACATAAAAATGGGCAAACTAGGCAAACTAACTATTTCTATGCGGTAACGAACAATTTGTAAGTTTGATAAAGATTCTTAGATAATATTCTGTGTTGACTAGTAAATGCTTTTCTCGTCAGAATAAGCACAGAAGGCTAACAGGTTAGTGAACAAATAATTCTCCTCCCTACACTTTAGCCCGTCAGCTAAATATGTTAGCATCAACTGTCCATCGCTGTGCGTCATAATGTGACTAAAATCACTCAACCAGCGTCAACTATCAGTATCCCACATAATGGTAAAAGTATAATTATTGATTAAACTCACTTATTCCAAAGGACTTGGAAGTATTTCATCTTTCTTTACGAAACTGTTCCGATATTTTCCGGCCATGTCGACTGGTGCAGCTTCGCTGCTGCTTGAGGTGAGGGAGGGTGACAATTCGACGAAAGCTAGCTAGCTAGGTGTTGCGCTGAACATTGCAACCCCGTTCTAGGAAGCGCATCGATATCGTACAGCGTAGAAGTCATGTGACATGATAGGCTGCTTGAAATTTTCACTCCCAGAAAATAAATTCGTACCATATCTCCAAACAATTTTAGAGCTGATATAATCAGTAAATAATGCATTGTGTAGTTGAAACGTTGAACTGAGTAGAAATAGCAATGGGTGCATATTCTTACAGCTATAAAAGCACCTTCACTGGCCTACTAAACATGTATTGCTTAAAAAAATAATAATTTTAGAAGAAAAAAAATCCCTTAAGAGTACCAAAAAACAAAAGTCTGTTTCTCACTTTTAATATTCACCTAATTTATAAATGAAAACAAGTGCCTCTCAAATGAGCTTCCGGGTTGTGCCTATTTTCAGCACAACACCAGATCGAAAAACCCAATCTGTGTGCGCGCTCTGGCGTGCACGCAAATCTACAGTGCCCTCTGCTGCCGTCGGGACTGCACGCACAACTAAACACAAAAGTGAGCGTCATGTTGTGAAAACTCATTAATATATATATATATATTAATGAGTTTTCACA